GAGAGACAATGAGGGCAACAGTGAAACAAAACAAAAAAACGGATTTGAGGAATGTCACATAGCACCTGGGGTGAGACCAGGGAAGGGTCACCTCGCCCCAGAGGTTAAAATTGCCAGTGAAAAATATGTGACCAGGTGTGGGACAAGCTGTACCCCCCCCATTTCTGTAACCTGCTCTAAATGGTATGTAAGGAAGGCCCACTTTGTTCTCCGGGCTCAGCCTTTGGACATGAGTCCGCTGAATTGCTGCCAACTTGGCTAATAAACTTGCTTCCAAAAGCTTTGGTGCCTAATCTGTGAGCCATCCTGCTACACTACTACTAACTGTATACTTTATGATATATGAATTATATTAAATAAAGCATTTTTGAAATAGGAATTGCTGACTTAGCCATCTCACATTGTAAAGTACATATTTCAAAACATCATGTTGTACAAAATAAATATAAATTAGCAATTTTATTTGTCAATTAAAGCACGTAAAGTGGAAACTGCTCTCTCATAATCATGTATATTTTGAGAACTGCCTATTCTACCAGAAAAAAAAAAATCACAAGTTCTTAGTTTTGATCTTTGCTATCTCTAAAACTGCCTATTCTGAGGTAATATGGCACCAAATTAACAGCCATTGTAGTTGTAGTTGAACTGAGACCAAAATTAAATGAAAACATCCAAGCTTCCCAGGTTTTAAACATGCATATTAGTCAAAAAGAATATTTAAATTTAATCAATTTAAATTTAATCATGCATATTAGTCAAAAAAAGAATATTTAAATTTAATCAGGGAACACCAGCAGAGAGAGATTTCAGGTATTTTCCCAGCACACTGTATGTTTCCTTAAGATGATGATAAAGCTAATGATGAATGTTATCAATGTTGCTGAATATAATGACAGGTTTCTCCTAAAATTTATGTTTAAAATATAATAAAGCAAAACTTAGAAACTCTTGTTCCACCATCTAACTGACAGCAGGTAATTGTTTATACTACATGACACATCTTAACAAAAAGCAGAGTTCCTACAATAAATCACCCTATTGTGTAAGTGCTGAACTACTGTCTAAATAATATTAAGTGAAGTCTGTAACTATTTGTTAAAACATGATGTTTTACCACAGATTTCGTGAAGTCAAAATCTCCAACAATTCCTTGTTCACGATTTAAAGCAAAAACGTTGTTCTGATGAAGTGATCCATGAATTATGTCAGCCTTGTGCAATGTATGCAGGCCCTGGGCAACACCTTTCATGATTTTTAAAGCTTCCTATAGATAAGTACACACAAAAGAGGTTAGGAAAAAGGCAGATTATTTAATACATGAATCTTTTCCTATTTAAAGTCTGTTCAAGAACTGAGTAAAGCTTCTTTCAAATGAACCTTTACTGAGAATGTGGCACACAGAAGGAACTAAAGGGTAGGTAAAGCCTTGATTGTGTAAATGGTGACCTTCACAAATGTTCTATGCAGTCTCACACACAGCACACACTGAAGTCCCTAAGAAGACTTAGATTAGAGGAGCTGAAATGGCATTACTAGGTTGGAAGAAGCACAGCCTCCTTTGTTGTTATTACTAATTCTAAATTTACAATGATGAAAATTAAAGCTATCACATAAGCACTTTAATACCAAGTGCTAAACTAGGCAATTTACATACCACACAGCTTAGTAGTTTATCAGCTTGGGCTTTGGATCCAGAAGGATCTGATTTCAATACCAACTCTACCTCTGGTGAGGGACTCTGCAAGTGACTCAATCCCGCTAAACTTCGTTTTTCTCGTCTGCATAACAGGACAGCTCATATCACAGAGCTGAATAACACAAGTCAAGATTTTACACAGTATAATATATAGTATGACCTAAATAAATATTAAGTGTTATTTTCTCATTCAAAACATCCATAAAAATGTTTTTACTTACTTCTGAAGATAAAGGCCTAGTGGCCTGAACTGCACTAAGGTTTGCTTCAGGATAGTATGGGACCATCAGATAAGCCATAGGATCAGACTAAAAAGCAAACAAAACATGACTCAAAGTGAAAAATTCTTCAACATATTGGTAGTATACACTGATTCTATAACTTTTGTTTCATATTAAAAGGAACAAATTACTGGTCTAAAACTTGGAATCAAAGCTTATTTTCATAAATAAAATCTCTGAAAGAGATTAACATAAGAACTTTACCTTACACAAAAACAGGAATATCAATGGCAGCAACCCAGACTCTTCTTTAGTTTCTCTCCAAGCTCTGTGGTAGCCGGCTGCTCTCTGAATCACCTCACTTCTGTGTCAACATCCAAGAATAGCCCTTTTATCAAAAAAAAAAAAAAAAAAAGAAGTCTGGTAATTCCAAGATTAAAATTTCCACTCTAATTATACATTATTCCAATTGAAACACAAGGGATGATTTTTATGTAAGTTGTATCTAATTTTGTAAGTATATTTTCTATCTGCTTTGGATGCTGTAATTTGGACAGAAAAGAATAATTCTACCTGCAACTTACTATACATCCTAGAATATCCAGTAACTAAGACAAATCTAAACACCCTATTATGATAATTAGTATCTTTTCAAGTCAGGAAAAAAAATTAAGAAGCAGATGATCATGTTGGTAACATAGCTGAAATTTCAAAGCAAGTTATAAGAAGTGCAAGAATAGTAAGAGGTTATTGGATAGAACATAATATGTTCACCCAAAAAAGCAATTAAAGACAGATACCATTTAAGTTAATGAGAAAAACTTTAAAGTCAAAATTAGTTCTAGCACAGTCATCATGCCAATCAACTCATACACTTTAGAAAACAATTGTTTTTTTTTCCTTTCCTGAAAAATAGCATCATCACTTCCCTTTAACTTCTGAATCTCCCACACTCAGAACATAAATTACTAGTTGAAGTGCTTTCTATACATGCATGAATATGGAACACCGAAACATGTGTAAGTCATTTCATGAGAGAGAGTAGAAGAGGGAGATTAATGGAGGGGGATGAACCAAACTGGGGTGTAACAGATGTATATATGGAAATGTTACAACGAAATTCCCTGTGTAATTATCATATACTAATAAAAACCTTTTTAAAATTAAAATTACCTTTAAGAGAACTGTCTGCCCATTAACTTCAGAGCATACCAAAGGACGCTTGCTGCTAAGTACCTTCATGGGTTCAGCATCAAGAAGATCTCGTTCTAGGCTTGTAGTAAGAAGACCACCAGAATTCTAGGCACAAGTTTTTATTACAGTTGAAGAATCAAAAAAAAACCACGTATATATCAGCATAGTTAGCTACATGCTATTAAATGGGTTGGATAACCTCAGCCTTTTAAAAACTAATAAAATAAAAATGTTTTGTATTTTTTTTTCTAGCTTTTGACTCTTGAACTCCTCATACCGACACTGAAATTATCATATATTTTAATTATTGTTATAGTTCTAGAACAGATTCTAGAGATGCCTGAGATATAATCAAACATGCTTCCAAGGAATCCCAACACATGACTGAAAAACTTCATGTGTTTTCTAAAATATTAAAATGACAAATTAAAAGGTAGCTATAGAATGGTAATGAAAAGGCTATTATGACTACTATGAAGTAATTCTAACACTATGCCTCTGCTTCAGGCATGATTCAAGCTTTCTATAATCTTCTACAATAAAGCATATAGCATATTTTATGAGTGTGTATTAACTGTACAAAGTGAGGTGGACTCACTGTAATGTTTGCAAACACGCACATAATATATGTTGATCATATTCATCCCTTCTATGACTCTTCAAATTCCCCTGCCTTTTTTTTTCTTTTTAACATTCTTACAAAATTTTATACGGGTTACATTATGACCTTTTCATATGTAATTTGATCATATTTTCTCCCCTCCTTTTCCCTGTCCCACCTCCCACTGGTCTCCACCCCCAAAATAGTCCTCCATTTATGTTCATATCCTTTTTTGTAAGATCCAAACTCCATATATGAGAGAAGACACAGCATTTGTCTTTCTGAGTCTGGATAATTTCACTTAATGTGATGATCTCTAGTTGTATACTTTTTCCTACAAATGACATAATTTCCTTCTTCTTTAATGACTGAATATTCCTCTATCCTATATATGCACCATGTTTTCTTTATCCATTCATCTGTTTTTAGGCACCAGGCTGATTCCATATTGTGAAAAGTGCTGCGATAAATATGGGTGTGCTGTATCACCACTGTATGCTAATTTGCATTCCTTTGGTTATACACCTACGAGTGATACAGCAAGATCAAATATGGTAGTTCTGTTTTTAGTTTTTGCTTTTTTGGTGGTATCTGGGTTCAAATTCAGGGCCTCTCACTCGTTGCTAGGCAGCACTCTACAACTTGAGTCACCCACCAGCCATTTTTTTGTGTTGGGTATTTCAACACAGGGTCTCTTAAACTATTTGCCAAGGCTGCTTTTGAACCATGATTCTCCTGATTGCTGCCTCCTGAGTAGCTAGGATTATAGGTGAGAGCCACCACACCCAGCTATTTTTAGTTTTTTGAAGCTTGTTTACACGAACATTCCTTTCTGTACTATATTTAAGCTATTATTATGGACTGAATGACCAGTCTTAAAAGAGTAAATATAGTTGGCCCTCCATATTTGAGATTTTGTACCCATGGATTCAACCATAAATTGAAAATATTCAAAAGAATTGTGTATACACTGCACATATATAGACTTTTTGTCATTGTTTCTTAATAATACTACATAACAACTATTTACATAACATTTACATTTGCTCAGAATAATGTAGAGATTATTTAAAAGTATACAGGAGGAAATACACAGATTATATGCAAATACTAAACCATTTCACACAAAGAATTTAAGCATCTCAGACTTTGATATCCAAGGGTTGGGGTAGAATCCCAGAATGAACTCTGCATAGATACCAAGGGACAACTCTTCCTCATCTAGTTCCTCAGCCTGCCAAGCAATACAAAACGCAGAGGTAATAATTCTGCAGAGCCAGCATTTACCAAGCTTGCTCCATACTGCCCCTGTCTAATATGCTAATCTCCTAGACTATGAATTCTGCTTGCCTAGAAAACCAAACCTATCTCAATGTTTCCACCTTAGCCTGCTTCTCTCAAAATTTTTCCCAGCCTGCTTTAAAGATACATTCCTCATGGTTAGAAATCTCCTTGCTTTATACTAACTCTTGGGACAAGAGTTAAAAGTTTGGTTTTATCATTTCAAAAAATAAGCAACTATAATTCAAATGAATGTCATACAATGTCCTACATGAACATGAAGAGAGAAATAGAAGAAAACATGTAAATTAACATAAAAATTAAAATGTACACTATGCAAGTATTTAAAACAGTCTTCAGGAAAGATTCTAATCATGCTCCAAAAAAAATTAAAATATTCATCAGAAACTATAAATTTAAACTGATACACAATCTGAACATCATCACTTTATTCTCTGCATGCTAGCAATTCTCAAGGAAAAAGAAGGCTTACCATGTATTTAAGTAATCCTATTTCAGGATGAAGCAGCGGAAGCTCAGGGAACCATTTCTGAGCCAAGTTAGTCAGCTTCTCCTAAAGTTAAAAATGCATTTTATTATAGATTAATATACACTCCATTGTGACATGTTGCTCTTCAGGAAAATGTATCATCATCTGCCTTCTTACAGATGTAAGAAGACATATAATCAATGATTTTGACTTCTACTTCAAAATTATCAAGCAAAAACCAAGTCGCCTTGAATCTAAATTACTATCTTATAAATAAAAACATAAATATCAACTTTATGCCTTGTATACTAGAAGCAGAAATATTGCCTATGGTCAAAGTCTACACTCATTTCCAGACTAAGACATAAAAGTGTAAAAATACGCCAATTTGAATAATAAAACTGTCATTATTTCTCAAAGTATTAAGAACATAGTAAAATTTTTCAAATGAGTCACTTAGAAAGAAAAAATCATAAAACCCTGAGACAAAAATAAATATGCAGCTCTACACAAATCACTCTGAAACAAATATGAAAAACTGAGGATTCTTACAAAATCCTACGTCACATGTTTATTAGGCAAATTTCTAGACATTTATCAAATTTAATCCAAAAATTCATAAGGTATTACATGTCAGATGAGTTTGAAAACGAAAGCATGACACTTAAAATGTCTATGATTTCATAGCATTTTTATTTTCAAAGCACTGTTTCTAATTAACATCTAACCCATAATATCCTTCAGACATAAAATATTATTTCTGTTTTAAAGAGAAAATGCACTGACTCGCTTATGGTCACAGAAATTAGCAACTGAAGACAGACTTAAAGATGCTCCCCAAAACCAGGTAGTTTTATTTTGCTACATACGTCGCATAAATTATGTGCTCCATTAATTTTTTCACTCAATATTATGCTAAAATTATGTTCTTATGTATATATGAGGAGCAACTGTTATTTAAAAGTGTGTGCGTGCTATAATCTCAATTCTAAAAACAATCAGGAAAAAACATTCAAAAGAAAATGGCTATCATTACTGTTACCTCTGAGCAACAAAGTTACAACAACATTTTCATCTTCATAATTTCCCATAATTTTCACATTGGTCCAATGGTCATAATTATTAACTAATAAGAAGTTAGTTTCTAAATTCACAAAAACATGACTATGCCAATATAATACATCTAGCTTATGATTAGAGTCCATTTCATAAAATGAATATTTTAATTCAATTTTTAGAGTAAAAGCTATTTTAAAATTTCAAAGAAACAAATACTTACATATTCCTCCCTCTCATGATAAATTTCCTGGAAGACACTGCTGCGCAACAGTGTTATTTCTTGCTTGATTTTCTCAATTTCAGATCCATCATTGTCATCAGACTTTATCAGAAAGAAAAAGTAGTTTTACAGCTTATTAAAGTAGAATAAAACACATATTCCTCTAGGAATTAATGCAATTTCTACAGTAACTCATCCTGTATAATTTCTATGTATCCTTCATTACCTAGCACTTGTTGAATTAACTTACATCAGTTCATTCTAACACTGACTTTCCAAAACCTACAAAAAGAAATTATAAAGATAAAGATAAAATTAATTACACAGACTTTTTCAATTTGCTGTAGATTCTCTCAAAGATAAAGATGTAGATTTTCTCAAAGATAAACTGCAATCATAAAGTAAATGTTAAGAACAAGAAACTGGAATTGAATTCCCTACAGTTTCTTTTTACATTATATTTGGTTAAAACTACAACAAACCAACCAAAAACGGGTAAGTCAACATATGAATATTCTTCTACAGGAAAGATGCTATGGGAATCAGAAATACCCAATACAATTCCACCAGAGTTTAGTAAATAAGCCACCTTAAAAGAATACTTCAATATTTGTCCAATGTCGAAAAATTAAGACTAAAAAAGGCCACCTCCCCACAGCCCAGAATAAACTGGAAACCCTTAAACTATGAAATTAATTGTAGAATAGTTCCCACTCCACTCCAAGTAAGTACTCAGAAGCGGATGAGAGATCAAGTTGGATTAAGACATAGTATAGATCCCTGTGTATATAAATCAATCCTGAAGAAAATGCAGAGAATTACCAGCTTGTTCAAAAAGTTTCAAGGGTAAGGAAGCAAGTCAGTCCAAAAGAACAAGTACTTCTTCCATCTCTATCATCATAAGAAAACAATTTAAAACACTTGCAAGAAATATTATAGCCAACCATAAGAGAAGAGTTCAGGGCTGGGCATGGTGGTTCATAGCTGTATTCCCAGCTACTCAAGAGGCCTCCTGAGGTAGAAGGATTTCTGAGGCCAGCCAAGGCAGAAAGCTTAAGACCCTATCTGAAAAATAAACTGAAGCAAAAATACTAGGGGGCAACTGTTTCCTTACTTCTTCCAAATTATTCTTTTCAACCAACTTCCATCTCAGTTGAGCTTTTAAACCTTTCAGAGTCTTCTTAATGGACAGCAAGTGTTCCACACTGGGGCTTTTATTCAAACATTCAATCATCTGATTTTTAAACTAGGTGAGAGAAAAAGTCACAAATTTTCAAACATATTAGACAACAATACTTACTAAACAGTCACTTACTTATCATTTATCATTTCTCTACCAAGATTTGACTACCTAAATTCAGAGTGAAATATTAAGAAAATCCTGTAGTTTTCAACAAGGCAATATTCATTGGGAAATGTTTACACTATTAATGGAGTCTTGATTTTGTTTACATATGCAGAGAAGTTGAGACATATAGTAAAACACTCATTGCTAACATGGATGCAAACTGGAATTTCTATGGAGGATGTAAATTGAAATAGTCTTTTCCAAAAGTGGTTTGACAGTATGTACAAAGTTTTAATAATTTTTATTCCTTTTAACTTGAAAATTATAATTTTAGGAATCCAAGAAGTTACAAACAAAATTACCTACAAAGATTAGGTACTGTGTTGTTTATGGTAGGAAAAAATTAGAAGTAACCTCAATGTCCAACATATATGAAAGGCTAAATAATGCTACCCATAGGAATGATCATTTAGTCATTCAAAATGGTAGTACAGAAGAATCAATCATATGGCAAAATGTTCTTAACACACTATCAGTAAGAAAATGTTTTCAAAATACCTTCAAGACAATGTAATGTACATTATTTGTGTGTATTGTGGATGTGTCTGTATATCCAAAAAAAGAAATGCTGTGAAGTTTTCTCTTTATTTCTTAACTTTCAAATTTCCTACAGTAAATTTGTAAAAACAGAAAGAGAATGATGACAAAGATTATGTTTCCAGGTACATAAGAAAAACCAAAGATGTCAAGCTTAACTAAAATATATCAACAAAACTCACCATTCCCACCGTATAGTGAATTCAATTAAATGCCAGCTAACAATGACTATACTGTTTTTCTAGCAATGCTAATTTATTCAGTAAATTAAACTACTAGAGTATTAAACTACCCGAAAAAATTAAATATTTAAAAATTCAAAGCATCAACTTATGAGACCAAGAAGAAAACAGCATAATCCAACCTCACAACTGTCCTTGTACTTGGATAGTAGTGCAGCAATGAGCCTTTTCTCTGAACAGATCTTCTGCAGTACTTGACTATATGTATTTAAAATGATCTCCTTGTCTGCATCACGTTGCTCCTAAATAAAATCACACATAAAGGGATAACCAAAATAGTTAAAACTTTTATCTTGCAGTACTGGGGACTGAGCAAAGAGCCGGGAATTGAACATAGGGCCATGTACATGCTAAGTAAGTGTCCTACCACTAAACTGTATCTCCAGCCCCCCAAAAGAGAAAAAAAGCTTTTTTGCAGTGCTAGGGACTGAATTTGGGGCCTTCTGCATGCTACACACACTAGGCAAGCACTCTATCATTGAGCTATATCCCTAGCCCTTAAAACTTTTCATAACAATAGATAAACTTCAAAATGGTATCTTTTAAAAGCTGCCAGATTCATTTCAAGTTATTTCTCATTTTCTTCCAGACAGAAGACAGACTGATATTAAAGATGTTCATGTAGAAATACAGTCCCTATTACACTACTTATTATTCCTAAATCTGTCAGGAATAGAGTGCTAAAGGAAATCAGGGATAGCAATATGGTAAATGTAAGAACCAAACAACATTTAGAACTTCAACATTCTAAGTTATTCTTAGAAATCATCTATTATTAAACACTTTGCTGTAATCCTAACTACTTGAGAGGCTAAGATTAGGATGACTGAAATAGAGGCCAGCTGAGGCAAACACTTGCAAGACCCCATCTCACTCAACAGCTGAGCATGCCCTTCATCCCAAGCTATGTAAGAGATGGAGATCAGGAGAATCACAGTTCCAGGCAAACCCAGGCAAAAGTTCACAAGACCCTATCTCAATAGGAAAAGGCTGAACATGGTGGTGTGAGTCTATCATCCCAGCAACCTTGTAAACTTAAAATAGGAGGATTGCAGTCCAGGCAGCCTAGGAAAAAGTGAGGCCTATCTCCAAAATAAACAGAGCAAAAAAGGCTGCAGGTGTGGCTCTATAGGCACAGCACCTGCCTTGCAAACTCAAACCCTGAGTTCAAACGCTACTACCAAAAACGACAAAAAAAACAAAAACACCACCACTTCTAAAATCAAGTCTGACAAAACCAACCAGACCCCTTTAATAATAGGGAAGTATAATTCATAAAGTATTTTAGTGCAATATGATTAAAATTACAAAAAAGTAAAAAAAAAGAAATGAAGACTAACACTGAGACTTTGGAAAGCAGCCTTAATAAACAGGAAAGAGTCCTGATAAACAATGTAAGATTACAAAAACACTGGACTGGAGGTGTGCCCCAAGTGGTAAAGCCTTGACTAGCAAGTATGAAGCCTTGAGTTCGCCCACCAGTACCACAAAAAAAAGAAAAAAAAAAGGATTACAAATACTCCTTTGAAGAATCCTACAAATTTTCACTTAATACAGCATACAGAGTATACACAATAAAGGGGGCTACTAATTTTTCTTGTGTGTGTCTACTTCCAGAGCCCTCCCAGATTTTCTTTCAAGTTTTCACAAGATTTACAGTCTTTTCTTATGGTCCTGGGTATGATGAACTCAACAATCAAGTGATATAGAAGGCTGATCTATTTAGATTAAGAAGGATCTCCTAGAATTAAACATTAGATTTTCTTAATATGAAATGTCTTATTACAATGAAAACATCCTCCTATGGAAGAATAAAATTACATTATACGCGGATTAGAACATGATAGTGCAACTCTTTCAAATAGGCCTATACAAGAAAAGTAAAGACCGGTCTACTTCCAGTTAGCAAGAGAAACCATTGCTTCAAAGGCAGCAATAACAACAACAAAAAAAAAACAATACTCACAATCAAAGAAATCTCCAGTTCTTTGCAGACATGTGACTCAGTCTTTTCCAAGATTTCATCAATATCACCAATTGTGTCTTGAGAAGTCAGTGATTTTTCCAAAGACAGATCAAAAACCTCATTGGCAAAAATAAAAACATGAAGAGTATCAATCAATTCATTTAATTAGCATTCATTGTTCCCTTATACCTGAAGCAGAGCATTAGCCTTTACCTGAGCAATGAAGGGGTCTTAAGATTACAGAAAAAAAAGTACCTACCATAATTTTACCTACATAAAATTTATGTACCAGAAAAGGCATATACACATAGCATACCTGAAAGAAAATTAGTGGTTAAGACAGGTGAAAGGTTAATCCAGAGGGAAAGTAAGAGAAAAGTAGGACCAAAACTAAGATTATGTTTTTTGACAAAAAAAAAAGCAGTCTGACTAAAAACTGATGAAGAACCTTGACTGACCAAGTGGTAGTAGCAGCAGGCAATGTCAGCTCAACAAACAAAAGGATATAATTAAAATATATAAACATTCCATATTGTATGCCACCAGTGAGCAAGAGTTTGCCTTACCTTTAAGATGCTCTGGAACCATGCTACAAGATGCTGGAGGGAAGCCTCTGTTTCATTCCTAACACTGGTGAACTCCTTTCCTTTATCACACTTCCAGTCATAAAATTTTCTAAGTATTTCTTCTGAGTTAGCTCCTTCTTTGGCCTGTCCATACACTGCTTCTAAAGAGGTAGATAAATCCTAAAGAAAGAAATTTTCGTTTATTAAAGTTTACTAATACACATTAGGATTTAAGGACTATTAAGATCTAAGAGACAGAAAAGCAGTATGTTCAATCACTGTTCTTGAGAATTTTAGGCTCTGGGGATGGCGCTCGCTCAGTAGTAAAGCACTTGCCAGCATACAGAAAGGCCCTGGGTTCAATTCCCAGCACCACAAAAAAAATTTATAAATAAAACTTAGACTCATTAGACAGCAATGAAAACAAAAAATTGTCTAGAAGGTGATTTATCTAAACTATAAAACAAGTTTATTATAGTCACAAACATGAAGCTAATTAAGTAGAAATTACCTCTTTTCCATGACTTTAAATAAGAATCACTACTGTTTGTCCTGACATGGAAGTCCCTAAGACCTAATACTAAATAAAAATAAACTACACTCCAAAATATATAATTAATTCTAATTAAGACATTAAACACATAGATATGCCCAAAAGCATTTTTAAAGGACTAGAAGAGACAAAGTAGGCAGCCAACACAGTCTGCTGGCTCGTTCCAACAATCAAACCCTAGAAGTGCTACAGAGACAAGAAGAAATCTTAATAGATCCCAGAATCTTACCACCAAACTGAGAAACCCTTGGGAGAAGACAAGAGAAGGTTTGTGCTTAGCATAAATGAAGGCAGCCACTGAAAGTGGAGAAGGCCTGTACCACAGTATACAATACACTGTGGGAAAAGAGAACTTTCTTCATATGCCTACTCTCTCTTTCATAAGACAAGAAAGCAGCAAGCACCAGCAGAAGCAATAGGATTATATGCAGACCAAACAAGAATAAGATGAAGCAAAAGTGATAGTCAGTACGAAGAGTTAGCCAGCCCATGAGTATTCTCTTTCCTTCCTGTTCCCCTGAAGGCATGGAAGCACTTATATCCAAGGGTAGTAGATTTAAGAAAAAAAAAAAAAAAAGCAGTGTCTGAGCTGGAAGGAATGGAAGGTTTGCTAAAGATTAAGAACATGTAGATCTTAGGGCACAAGCATGCCTCAGCAAATATAAGAAAACAGAAATAATTCCATGCTTTCTATCTGATCACAATGCATTAAAACTAGAATTCAACAACAAAAACAACAGTAAAAAACATGCAACATTGGAAGCTGAACAACACATTGCTCAATGATCACTGGGTTCACTGAGGTAATTAATAGGTCTTTGGAAGTTAATGAAATGAAAACATGACCTACTAGAACCTATGGGACACAGCAAAAGCAGTCCTAAGAGGAAAGCTTATAGCCATGAGTGCATACATTAAAAGGACAGAAAGATCTCAAATCAATGTCTTAATGCTTCATCTCAAACTCCTAGGAAAACAAGAACAAGCAAATCCCAAAACAACCAGAAGGAGAGAAATAATAAAAATAAGAGCCAAAATCAATAAGAACAAAAAAAAATTAAAAGAATCAATGAAACAAAAAGTTGGTTCTATGAAAAAATAAGTAAGACTGACAGACCCCCGAGGAGAGAAAAAACCAAAATCAGTAAAATCAGAAATGCAAAAGGGGAAATAACAACAAACACCACAGAAATCATCAGAGACTACTTTGAGAACCTATATTCTAATAAATTTGAAATCTGAAGAAATGGACAGATTTCTAGATACTTATGACCATCCAAAACTGAATGAAGAGGACATTTATCACCTGAATAGATAGCTCTATAACACAAAATGAAATTGAAGCAGCAATAAAGAGTCTCACAAAAAGAAAAGTCCAGAACCTGATGGCTTCACTGCTGAATTCTATCAGACCTTTAAAGAAGAACTAATACAAACCCTCCTCAAACTGTTCAATGAAATAGATAGGGAAGGAAAACTGCCTAACTCATTTTATGAAGCCAGTATTACACTCATCCCAAAACCAGACAAAGACACCTCCAAAAACGAGAACTATAGGCCAATCTCCTTAATGATCACCAATGCAAAAATCCTCAATAAAATAATGGTAAACTGAATACAACAACGTATCAGAAAGATCATTCACCACAACCAAGTCGGCTTCATCCCAGGGATGCAGGGGTGGTTCAACATATACAAATCTATAAATGTAATATAGCACATTAATAGAAGCAAAGACAAAAACCACTTGATCATCTCAATAGATGCAGAAAAAGCCTTCAACAAGATCCAACACCACTTCATGATAAAAGCTCTAAGAAAACTAGGAATAGAAGGAAAGTATCTCAACATTATAAAAGCTATATATGACAAACCTACAGCCAACATCATACTTAATGGTGAAAAACTGAAACCATTTCCCCTAAAAACAGGAACAAGACAAGGGTGCCATCCCCACTCCTATTCAAAATAGTACTGGAATTCCTAGCCAAAGCAATTAGGCAAGAAGAAGAAATAAAAAGGAATAAAAATAGGTAAAGAAACTGTCAAAATATCCCTATTTGCAGAGGATATGATCCTATACCTTAAAGACCCAAAAAAACTATACCCAAAAACTCCTAAACACCATCAACAGCTACAGCAAGGTGGCAGGATACAAAATCAACTTAGAGAAATAGTTAGCTTTTCTATACACCAATAACGAACAAACTGAGAAAGAATATATGGGAACAATTCCATTTACAATAGCCTCAAAAAAATCAAATACCTAGGAGTAAACTTAACAAAGGATGTGAATGACCTCTACAAAAAGAACTACAAACTCTAAAGTTTGTACAGGAAAGAGTAGGAAATACTTTAGAACTAATAGGTATAGGCAAGAACTTTCTCAATGGAATCCCAGCAGCACAGCAATTAAGAGATAGCATAGATAAATGGGACTTCATAAAACTAAAAAGCTTCTGCTCAACAAAAGAAATGGTCTCTAAACTGAAGAGACCACCCTCAGAGTGGGAGAAAATATTTGCCAGCTACAAATCAAAGGACTGATAATCAGAATATACAGGGAACTTATAAAATAAACTCACCCAAAATTAATGAACCAATAAAGAAATAGGCAAGTGAACTAAACAGAACTTTCTCAAAAGAAGAAATTAAAATGGCCAAAAAACACATGAAAAAATGCTCACCATCTCTAGCTATAAAGGAAATGCAAATTAAAACCACACTAAGATTCCACCTCACCCCTGTTAGAATAGCCATCATCAAAAACACCACTAACAACAGGTGTTGGCAAGGGTGTGGGGAAAAAGGAACCCTCGTACACTGCTGGTGGAAATGCAAGCTAGTGCAACCACTCTGGAAAAAAATTTGGAGGATTTTTTAAAATGTAAACATAGATCTGCCATATGATCCAGCAATCCCACTCCTGGGGATATACCCAAAGGAATGTGACACAGGTTACTCCAGAGGCACCTGCACACCCATGCTTATTGCAGCACTATTTACAATAACCAAGTTATGGAAACAAACAAGATGCCCCACTACTGACAAATGGATTAAGAAAATGTGGTATTTATTCACAATGGAATTTTACTCAGCCATGAAGAAGAATGAAATCTTATCATTCGCAAGTAAATGGATGGAATTGGAGAACATCATCCTGAGCGAGGTTAGCCAGGCTCAGAAGACCAAAAATCGTATGCTCCCCCTCATATGCAGACTTTAGATCTAGGGCAAATACAGCATGTGGTTGGACTTGGGTCACATGATAAGGAGAGAACACATATGGGAGGTATGGGGATAGAAACCCAAAATATGAAAGTGTTTGATGTCCCCACTGCAGAGGAACTAATACAGTAACCTTAAAGCAACAAAAGTCAATATGGGAAGGTGACCAGGAAGTAGTGAAGAGTCAGGTAGAGATGAATCAACTTGGGTTGTAACACATTCGTACATGGAAGCAATGCTAGGAATCTCTCTGTATAGCTATCCTTATCTCAACTAGCAAAAATGCTTTGTCTTTCTTATTATTGCTTATGTTTTCTCTTCAACAAAATTAGCGATAAGGACAGAACAGGTTCTGCCTGGAAGCCAGGGGGGTTGTGGGGGGAGCACGAGGTTAGGGGGGTAGAAACGGCCCAAACAATGTATGCACATGTGAATAAATGAATGAAAAATAAATAAATAAATAGTTGTTTGCCAATGGCAAAAAAAAAAAAAAAAACATGTAGGAGAGAAGCAAACAGGGAATAGCTGATCCTAGATTGCAGAAATCCTCAACACCAGAAGTTCTGTACCCAGAAAAACAGCCCCATTCTACTACCTAAACCCATCTGAAATGTTAAAAACTGTTACAGGCTTTTGTTCTTCCCCAGGTCCCTCTACATTATCCAACACCTATGCAACAACACAAAACTAAAGTAGTTTATCGTCCCAAAGGAATATGGAATCTTAAGGACAGGTAAGGGGATGATGAAATGTGTGAATAAGATAAGTATTTTGTGTGTCTTAATTTTTGACAAAAACATTTAAAGTAAAAAATTAAAATTAGGCACAGTGGTTCACACCTGCAATCCTAGCTACACAGGAGACAGAGCTCAGGAGGATCTTGGTTCAAGGCCAGCACAGGCAAATAGTTAGCAAGACTCCATCTCAACCAATAAAAAAGCTGGGCATGGTGTTGCATGCCTGTCATCCAAGTTAGGCAGGAAGTGTAAATAGGAGAACTGCAGTTCAGGTCAGTCCGCCATAAATGTAAGACCCTATCTCAAAAATAACCAAAGCAAAAAGGCTGGGGGCATAGCTCAAGTGGTAAAGTACCTGCCTACCAAGCACAGAACCCTAAATTCAAACCCTAGCACCATCAAAAATTTTTAATTTTTAAACCAAAAAATCTTATAGAATAAGGATATTGAAAAATATTTTGTACAGATATACAATGTGTTTGTTTTAAATATTATAAGAGTCAAACAGTTTAAAATAAAATTGTCCTCTGGTTCAGCTTTCCTGCAGTGAACAAGACTCACTGATAATACAAAAGGTTTGTGAAACCAACCAGAAAAGAAGTCCCCAGTGATCTATGCCTTTTTGTTAGCATAATAATGAACTAGTAAGAAATTCAATGCTTTAAAACAGCAAGGATAAAAGCTTCTGACTATCAAAGCAAGTGTACAAGCTATGTCTATCTGCTACATTAGGATATCCCAATACAGTCGCTCTGGTTTTGGCATTTTTAATTCCTGTAGGGGCCAAAGACGCAGTAGTCAGCATCTTTCTGGGCAACAACACTAAAACAGTGATGTTTAACCAGTACTGTGGACTTGTTCTGCCATCAGATCATTTATTAGCAATGATAGCTAGGTTTAACTTAGCAATGATGATAGAGTTTGATCTTGGCAAAACTTATCAATAAATTTTTTCAGCGGATCACCACAAATCTTTGAAAATTTAATGCTTAAACTAAGTAAACTTCTATAAACAGCCTGTTGAAAATATACAGTTTCCATCAATGTTCAGTTCACTGTGATAGATCTTTGCTTGTTTCATGATCAGCACACCATTAAGTGGCATGTGTTCACTGCTACACTGAGCGGTTCACTCTTTCAAAATACAATCATAATTAAGCTTTATGCACCCTTTCACTATTTTTCATTAACTCTGTCCATCACTTTAACACAGAGCTTCTAAAGTTTATTCCTCTGTTTCTTCAGGTCATTTTTGGGTCACGTTTGTAAGATGTTTCACACCTATACTGCTATTCAGTTTTTCCAACAGCTTCACTTTCCATGCTTTAAACATAAGTGCTTCTTCTTTTTATTACTGTTATCCACTGAGGTAACTGTAGGTCTTTTTTATATTTGCAATAATATCTTTACACCATGGCTCAAATAATAAGCAAAATACAGTAAGTAGATCTTGGTCCCATGTGGGGCATTATGGGAACCTGCCATTGGCGTAACAGGTTTGTATACATGTCATTTTGTGGGACTTCTTGAGTAAGGGAATCTGGGCATTTGCAGAAAAAATATATTGCACTAGAAAAGGCTGGGAGGGACTTTATTCCCTTGGGGACAGTAAATAAACTATGAATTATACATCTGCAGTTTTGACTGTGACCCATCACATGAAGCCAGATGTGGAAATTTCCACTTGCAGCATCATGTCAATACTCAGAAAGTTTCAAATTTTGGAATACTTCAGATTTTTTTTTCATATTATGGGTGCTCAACCTATATTAAACTTTAAAAAGAAAATACATTTTAAGAGGATCTTGGCTGCAGACCCTCAAGTCATGCTGAGTAACAGTTAATGAGATGAAATAACCGCTGTAGGGCTGCATTGTAGAAAGAGGTAAATTCTTACTATACAACTGCCCTTTTATATACAAGGCTTACTTCACTGTTCTGGAAGAACTTATATTATTTATACAATTCCATTTAAAAATGTTTCAAATTAGGCTCCAATGATTCCTGAATCATGCACAGTATCATCAAACTATATCTTCATCCAGGGGACAGAAAGAGGTGGTGCTCAGATATCACTCATTATCTTCTCCAAATGTCTAGCAAGTTAATTCTTGCAGGCCAAAACAAGACAGATACAAGCTACTGTTCAACTTAGCACTAGGGATATTGACCAAAGATACATAAAAGGTAAAAGAATTAGATGAGAAAAAGTAGTCACTATTTTCAAATTCTATAACCACAGAGTATTAACAGACAAATTAGAAGTAAAAGAGTTCAGCAAGGCTGCCAGAGAAACATCAATATATGAAAACCAATAGTGTTCCTCTATTCCATCAAAAACAACTAGGAAATGGAAAGTTAAATAACATTCACAAAAGCAATCAAAAGTATAAATATCTAGAAGTTAATGAGAAAATGTGTGAGGACCTTTAAAGAAAAATTTTATACATTACAGAACAAAAATAGGTATGAGTAAGTTAATACTGTCATGCTCATTCACCCCAAATTAAAAGTCACTGCTGGAGCTGGCAGGACAGGGATGAAGACCAAATTCTAGCACATCATGAAGCTACTGGACTCTATAATCCCTGATCATACCAGAGGAGGAACTTTCTGATCAAGGAGCCAACTCTGACAAGTATCCCTAAAAGATTTCTTGCTAGAAAGCAAAGGCAGGCAACAAGGCCTCTCACACCTGCTATTGTTCTTGCTTCCATGAGCTCTTTCAATTAAGGATGCTCTAGTAAGCCTGGTATATGTGGCGTTTTACTTTGGCTGCATGACAAATACACATGTATACATAAACACTAAACATATTAATATGAACTTTTAATTCCATTAAAAATTTCAAGACACTTCAACAAAGAAGAAAAAAGACTGTAGCTGTCAGTACTATCTGAAATCTCAAGAAAAATACTGATCTCAAAGGATAAACTTTTAACTTAATATATATTTAATATATTTTAACTCCAACCTGCAGTGTTTTTAAGCGCTTATTAAGTGGTAACTCATCTACTTCCAGAATAAAAACTTCTACTGCCATGCATAGCTTCTGTTGCACTTCATTTCTTAGGGCAATCAAAATATTTCCTTCATTCTAGAGAAAGGAAAACAGAATAACCTCCATTAATATATAAGATAATTTTCACACATTTACCTACATGGAAAAAGTGATTCCTAAAATTTAACATTACATTCTCCAAACATAGTAGCATTTACAACAAATACTACTCTCCTTAGGTCACCAAGATGACAAAGAATTCCCTTTTCCTTAATTAAAAATAAATATTTAAGTTCAACAACTATGCACTGCAAATATTTATTTTTTTCCTACTATTTCTATGACAATGAACTTTTTCCTCAAGAAAATTACATAAAGCCAGGGGTGGTGGCTCAAGCCTGTAATCCTAGATACTCAGAAAGTGGAAGTCAGGAGGATCACAATTCTGAGGCCAGACTGGAAAAAAAAGTTCAGGAAACTACATCTGAACTGATGGCTGGGTGTGTATCTGTCATCCCAGTTATATAGGGAGCACAAATAGGAAGATTGCATTCCAGGCTGGCACAAGCATTAAGCTAGACCCTATCTCGAAAATAAACAATGTAAAAAAAGGGGGGGAGGGGCTGGCAGAGTAGTAGAGAACTTGCCTAGCAAGCACAAAGCCCTGACTGAGTTCAGTCCCCAGTACTATCCAAAAAAAAAAAAAAAGGTTCCTATTTTTAATTACACACTGCTTTCCTCTTTTTCCCATCCTATCCTTAACTCCTTCATCTATTCATCTTTCAAGATTTATTTAAACTACATCAGGATAAACCTTTCGATTCACCCAAGAGTTTATTTGGAAATATGTATATAAAAGATATCTAAGGACTCTGTATTATCTCTATTGTAGTATTTACCATACTATATCGAAACATTTTTGTGGTGCAAAGTAGGGGCGGGGGGAACAGGACAGTACTGGGGTTTGAACTCAGGACTTTGCACTTGTAAAACAGACACTCTACCACTTAAGCCACACCTACAGTTCATTTTTACTCTGGTTATTTTGGAGATGGGAGTCTCACAAACAATTTCCCCGAGCTGGCCTTGGACCACGAACCTCCCAATCTCAGCCTCCCAAGTAGCTAGGATTACAAGCATGAGCCACTGGAGCCAAGTGTGTAACTATTTATATACCCATCTCAAACCCAAGAAAGATGGAAAAGATCCCATCTTTTAAAAATTTTAGTCTCCATTACCTCTAACAATATCTGGCACATGTATTTAAAAGCTTGAGTTTGGTGGGGAAGGTGGAGTTACATAAGCTCAAACTATCTTATAACTAAGTAAAAAACGAGATGCTCAAGTACAGCTCATTTCTTTCATCAAAAAAGGAAACAAGGAATTAGGCAAAATACATAAATAAAAATAACAATTCTATGACTCACATGAAGTACAGTAAGAGAGAGAAAAATGGCAACTTCATTTGTACATTTATCCAATAATCTACTCTTTAATCTATCAAGTGAACTTTAAGTTCTGAAACATCAGCAGAAGCAAATACTTGCTTAAAATAAAAAGTCACATTTATACTACCAGAAAACCAAATCTTGCAACTGGCATGCTCAGATGGAAGAATTCCCATTGATTATTTGTAGTTTGTAGTTCCTCCCAGTCCAGATACAATTTACCATTCAGGAACTACATTTACCATAAACAATCTTGCCTAGTAACATAGTTGAAACATTTTATCAGACTTCCAAAGAAAGAGAGTATTAATCAAGTATCAAATACTCAGGAAAAAGGAGAAGATTTTGTTAACATTTATAATCCCAATCACCAATTGTCTATTCTACCTTTTTTATAAAGTACTAATTTTAGAGTACGTTCATATTACAAATTTGCAAGTACAGTGTATATATAAATGAAAATAAATCATTCACTTTATATAAATTAAGTATTGTTATGGTATTTGAAGTTCCTCTGCTTTCGCAAAAGATTGTGTTTCTTTGTGTTCAACAGATAAAACCATAAGACAGAAAAATTCTTGACCAACCTCATTATAACAAGTTTGGATCTTCTCTTGAGCCAGATTGTATTCTGCCCAAATTTTATCTAATTCACTCAAAGAAGCTGGAGTAGTAAAACATCCTTCATCCAATACTTCTATAGCATCAGAAAGGTCATTTCCAAAATGAACACTGATGTTGACTCGCCTATTTGGAAAAATAAAAATAAGGAAAAGATCAGGCATTAGAAATTTGGTATGAGAAAAACTCATATTTATATAGTAATGGTTTAAAAGGTATCATTTGCACCATTGGCTATAAAACAGGACTTTTTAAAACTTTGTATAAAATCATGCATAACTTTAGAGGGGCAAGATGGTGGATTACAAGCTGTCTCATGCAACTCTGTGGATGCAAAGGCGAGACTATATTCCAAAGAGAGAAAGAAAGAGCATCAGGTATCATGAAATAGGTGACAGGGCAGTCAAAAACCACGGAGAAGAAAATGAAAAGTAGGAAAGAGTCTATCCTTGAACCCCAGCAACTCTGGGGAAAGGGGAAGCTAAAAACACAACCACAAAGTAAACTTTGTTACAATAGACAGACCTAGGTGCAGGATAATCCCACATGTCTCATGAACCTTAAATCTAGTGGGGGGATTTGGTGTGAGAGTAACTCTTCTGTGTGGCAGCCTAGTATTGGAGAAGAAATCCATTTTGTTACTCCCCATATGTCAGAGAGTTATAGCCAGGCACCACCTTGAGAGGGAGGCCTCGTTGAGACTGAGCTACTCTGAAGACCTGAAAATAAGGAACAACTGCAGCTCAGGGACACCTGGGGAACCCAGTCACAGTGTCAGGGTCACAAGAGGTGGCCATAGAAAGGAAGAGGGTCTGACATGGACATCTTGAAAAGATAAAGCAGCAGGGAGCTTGGACAAAAAACAGTGTGGTGTCTGGTGGCACAGTACGGCAGGGAGTGAGTCTCATTACCTAAATATCATTGCAGAAACAAAGCACCAAGTCAGTGGCTAAGAGGACTGCTTAGTCTCCACCAGAGCTGCCTCCCAGCAGTGTATAGTTTGCTGCTGGGCAGAACTGAGAACTCTGAGCCCAGGATACACAGATCACTACATTTTCCCAGCTTCCTCCATCCCACAAGCTAGTTAGCTGTTTGATGGGATCTGAACTGAGATGAACAGGCAGCTAGGTTGCCTCAGTTCTCCCTGTCCAATGCAGAACTCAGTGCTGTTGCTTTCCCCACCCACCAACACATTCAAGAGACACCTATTGGCTTGGATGCTTACTGCCCCTGGAGGCACAAACTGCAGGGAGTATGAGCAAATGGGAACCTGCCCAATGCACAGGCTGCAAAGCTCATTCTGACCAGCAGCACCTCTTTGAACACAAAGAAGGGAAGTTTCTAAACTGAATGCAACCCTGAAGCTGACACTGACCTTTGACTGGCTCTATCCTCAACGTGAATATAGCATGATCTGTACTCCAAGAACCACAAGGGACTCCAAGTAGTTTCCTTCTAAGTGGTTCTAGGGATCCATATGGTTCCCTGAGCACAAGGGCAAATGACTGGCTACTGAGTTACACCCCCAGTCCAGTGATAAGAAAATACATACAACTCTACCACCATCCAGTTCTACCTCAAAATTGAGAATACTTCAGCTAAAAGAGTACAGGTGATTTAAACTTCCAACCAACAACCTGTCCTCAGATATACAAATCCTAATTCAGAAACACAAGAAACATGAAAAAAGGAACATAACTCCTACAAAAAACACCAACTACTACAAAAAAGAACTACTATATGCTAATAAAAATGAAAACAAAAGCCAACTACTCCACAATAATGGACTTTAATGGTAGTAGACTGAATGAAATCTCAAAGATATTTTAAAATAGTAAGAATAATTAAAGAAATTAAGAAGATATCAATAAACAGCTGAATAAATTCAAAGAGAATACAAATAAACAGCTGAATGAAATAAGGAAAGCAATTCAGGATGTAAAAGAGGCATTCAATAAATTATAGAAATCTTGAAAAAAATCTAACTGAAATTCTGGAAATGAAAAGCTCAACTGAGTCAAAAAAAGCACAATTGAAAGTCTCACCAATGGACTAGATCAAGACAGAACATAAGGGTTTGAAGACAAGTAAAATGAGTTAGAACATTCAGACAATAATAAAGAAAAATAAGAAAGCATAAACAGAAGATACAAGGTTTCTGGGACATCATTAAAACACCAAACCTACAAATTATTAGCATAGAAGAGGTACAAGCTAAAGGCATAGAAATATTAATAGAAAATAGAAAATTTCAATGGTCATCCAGGTACAGGAGGCTTATAGAACAGCAAACAGCCAAGTCCAGAAAAGAACCTCTCCACATCATATTGTAGTAACCATTAAGTATATGAAACAAAAGGGCTGGAGGTGTGGCTCAAATGGTACAGCATCTGTCTAGCAAGCACAAAAACCTGAGTTCAAACCCCAGTAACCACAAAAAAAAAAAGCTGTCAAGTATATCAGGCAAGGAAAGAAAATTGAAAGTTGTAAGAGAAATGCACCAAGTCATCTCTAAGGCAAATGCATCATAATAATACCACATTTCTCTACAGAAACTCTAAAAGCCAGGAGGGCATTGAATGATGTACTTCAAGCCCTGAAATAACTGCCAATCTAAATTACTGTATCCAGCAAATCTACCCTTTATAATTGAAGGAGAAATAAAAACCTTCCATTGTAAGAAAAAAACTAAAGGAATTCATGACCACTAGCCAGCACTGTAAAAGGTACTGAGAGGAATCCTACACACAAAGAAGAAAGATAAATACTATCATGAGAATAGAGGAAAGAATAAATCTCACTAGAAGAGCAGATAAGCAAATGAGAATTAGAAAGAATCGGACATTACAAAAGCAACAAAATTACAGGAAATTAGTATAGACCTTTCAAAAATAACTGTGTGTTAAGGTCTCAATTCTCTAAATAAAAGACACAGACTGGCAGACTGGACTAAACAAGACCCAATCATTTGTTGCCCATAAGAAATGTATCTCACTGGCAAAGACAAACCCAAGCTTAAAGTACAAGGATGGAAAAAGATATTCCAGATAAATGGAGTCTAAAAGAAACAAGGGATAGCTATACTCATATCAGATAAAGCAGACTTCTAACCAAAATCAGTCAAAAGAGACAAAGAAGGTCACTTCATATTGATAAACAAAACAATCCATCAAGAAGATATAATTGTAAACATATAAACACCAAATATCAGCATACCCAATTTCAGCACTACTAGACATGAAAGCACAGACACAACCCAACACAATAATAGTGTGATGTCAATACCCCATTCTCATCAATAAATAGGTCATCCAGAAAAAAAAAAATCCACAAAGAAATTACAGAATTAAACAACACTATAGTCCAAATGGACTTAAAAGGCATCTACAGAATATTTTACCAACAGCCACAGAATCCACATTCTTCTCAGTAGCCCATGGAACTTTCTCCAAATAAATCATATTTTAGAGCATAAAACAAGTCTTAACAAATACAAGAAAACTGAATAACTCTTTATTCTTTCATACCAGTTTTTTAGTTTTGAACAAAACTAAAAATCAACACCAAGAGAGACTACAGGGAGAAGACAGGGAAACATGGCACAATAGTAGACGCTCTCTCCATCAGACCCTGTGAATAAGAGCTTGGATAATAAAGAAGAGTACACAAGAGCAAAAGAGAGAAAGAGCCACAAAAGAGGGCAAGGACAGCTGAAAAATATGGCAAAACAGAAGGGCAACAGAGTAAATTAAGAAAGGTTGACACTCAAGCCCCAGCTCCCCTGGGGGAAGGGAAAACCTTCAAGACTACCCTCCAAGACTCCACAACAACTTCACAACTGAATCCAATGACAATGAATTAGCTGAAATGTCTGAGAGAGAATTCAGAAGCCTACTGTTAAAATGATCAACAACCTCAAAGATGATTAAAATAAACAGATAAATAAAGTTAATAATTCAATCCAAAACCTAGACAAGAAAGTCAGCAACATGGAAGAGATATTCAGCAAGGAAATGGAAATTATGAAAAAGGTAGAAATGTAAGAAATTAAAATCTCGATAAAACCACAATGGGTGGTACTATCAGCAGACAAGATCAAACAGGAAAAAAAAGAACATCAGAGGTAGAGGACAAGATCAAGGAGATATTGAATGCAGACAATTTAAAGAAAAAATAAGGCAAATGGGAAAGGATCTATTATTGGTAAAGGTGGTCAGCGGATTAAACAAATTTGTCATGAGTCGGGAGCTTCGATCAAAATTGATGAGCCTTTAGAAGGATCTGAAGATCGGATCATTACCATTACAGGAACATGGGACCAGATACAGAATGCACAGTATTTGCTGCAGAACAGAGTGAAGCAGTATGCAGATGTTGAAGGATTCTAATGCAAGATATTTTTTCTTTTTTATAGTGTGAAGCAGTATTCTGGAAAGTTTTTCTAAGACTAGTGAAGAACTGAAGGAGTCCTGCATCTTTTTTTTTTTTTAATCTGCTTCTGTTTAAAAAGCCAACATTCCTCTGCTTCATAGGTGTTCTGCATTTGAGGTGTAGTGAAACCTTTGCTGTTCACCAGACATAATGTTTTAGTTCCTTACAAACAGGGTTGGGGGGGAGGGCGTGCAAAAACTAACACTGAAATTTTGAAACAGCAGCAGAGTGAGTGGATTTTATTTTTTATTAATTGTTGGTGGTTTTAAAAAAAAAATCCCCCCATGTAATTATTGTGAACACCTTGCTTTGTGGTCACTGTAAACATTGGGGGGGGAGCAGGGAGGAAAGTAACAATAGTTCACATGTCCCTGGCATTTGTTCAGAGCAGTGTGCAGAATGTAATGCTCTTTTGTAAGAAACATTTTATGATTTTTAAAATAAATTTAGTGAACCTAAAAAAAAAAGAAAGAAAAAATAAATATCTATCATTGCAATATAATAATTCTGGGACACAATCAAAAGACCAAACTTAAGAACCCACAGAGCAGAAGAAGGAGCTGAAATACAAACTAAAGGCACATGGAACCTATTCAATGAAATCATAGCAGAAACGATCCCAACTCTGTGTAAATATATAGACACCTATTTACAAGAGGCATTTCAAATGCTAAATAGACATGACCAGAAAAGGAACAACCCTCTGTCATATCATAATTAAAATACCCAAACCAGAGAACAAAAAAAAGATACTGAAGGCTGCAAGAGAAAAATTCCAGGCCTCTTGCTACAAATCCTAAAAGGCAGGAAAACATGGAGCAATATATTCAAGCTCTGAGAGAGACTAACTGCCAACCAAGAATATTATATCCAGCAAAGCTATCCTTCAATCTTGATGGAGAAACAAGGACCTTCCAGGATAGGATAAGCTAAAGTGGTTCATATCCACCAAGCCTGCATTACAGAAGATACTCAAGGGAGTATTTCACACAGAACAGGAAGAAAAACAATCACAAACACAGGAGGTCAGGAAAGAATAAAACTCAAAAGGGAAACTGATGAACTCATGAGAGTAGGAAAAAATAAACCATGATCAACTCAGTAAACCAGCAAAACCTGAAGACAAACAATGCCAAAAGTAAAGATCAATCAACACAGGACTCAATCTGGAACACAAAGCAACAGAAACACAGAAATCAATAAATACCTGTCAATCATAACCATAAACATAATCAGATTTAACTCTGTAATCAAAAGAGATAGACTGAGTGGATCAAAAAGCACAATCCAATAATCTGTTGTCTACAAGAAATATACCTCACAACCAAAGATACACACAAACTAAAAGAGAAAGGTTGGAAAAAGATAGAACAGGCATTCAGAAATTGAAAGCAAGCAGGAGTATCTATTCTTATACCAAACAAAGCAGATTTTAAGCAAAAATCAGAACAGATAATGAAGGTCACTATATACTAACAAAGGAAAAAATACAGTAAGACAGTATAACAATTCTAAATAGCACCAAACATCAGGGCTCCCAAGTTCATAAAATGAATATATCCAAGCATTAAAAAAAACAGACAGGACCAGATACAATAATAGTGATAGATCTCAACAGCCCATTCTCATCAATAAACAGAATATCCACACAAAATATTATAAAGATATCCTAGAACTAAACCATATCATTGACAAAACACAGTTAATAGGTATTTACAGAGTACTCTATACTATAGCTTTACCATACACATTTTTCTCAACAGCCCATGAACTTTCTATACATCCTAGATCATCCTAGGTCATAAAGCAAATTTCAACAAATACAAAAAATTAAAATAATGCCCTGAATTCTAACAAACCATAATGGA